ATGACATGGGAGGAGAAACTTTTCAAAAATGACAAAATTTTAGCGACATCCAGAAAGATACTGGAACCTTGAAATTTCGGCAAAATTTGAAATTTCAACAATCGCAAGATAAAAACATACCTGACATACTACCCCTGCTCCCTTGACGTACCTTTGGGACCTTGGCTAGGTGTTTTACTTTGAACCAGGGCCAACGAAATTATCGAGACATTCAACAGAGGATAGGGGGAGAGAGAGAGAAAAGAATCGCCGCGGGGTAGTACACATGAAGTAGGCGCCACAGTGAGCCCTGTCTGAATCAGGGAACATTCCAGAAATCTTAGTTTCAATGGGGTCGTGCCATAATTTTGTAGTGTGGGAGTTTTGCCTATTGCATAGTTTCATGTCAGGGCATATCCAGGTGAGTGGTTTGGTAATCCATGTTGTAAAAGAGTCGTCAGGTGGAGTCCATTTCCGAATTAATAAGTTTACGGCAGCATGACGCGCATGCGCGTCAGATTTTCACACATTCCGGGCCGTTTTATTCGTTTTATTTGGCATTTTTCATGCTCCAGAACATTTGTATACATAACCTTATTTGGAAAGCGTGCACCAACTACTTGTAGTGTAATCATTGAAGGAATCATGAGGATTCATAAAAATGAACAAAAAGTGCCGAGTAGCACGCACAAAGGGCTTTCGTCAAGATGTTGAATAACGAGTCGATTTACCCTTGGTCTCCATTGCTGGCACACTTTTTTGTCCCGTTGAAATCTGCCAAAAAGTCGATGAATGAAAGATCTTTCTCGATCAGTCTTCATTTCATAGTCTGCCGACGACAAACGATATTTTCCCATGGTGTACAGAACCAATCAGTGCGCATTTCCGGCCATTGAAAACCAAAATGACAAACTTGCCAAATAATAAAAAGGATAAAGGATAAAGCATTTGCCGTTGATCAATCCCTTTTTGGGATGCGGCACGCATTCTACTTCCATTTGTACATTCGTAGTGGCGTTTGAATGCGATGTGGCCTATACAATGACTTGCGGGGGCCAGCCGATGTACAAGTCAGTGTTTTTATCCTCCCAGACAAGTCTGGTACCAATTAACCGACCCCGGAGGGATGGAAGGCTTGGTTGGCCCGGGCGACTCACGACCCAGGATTTGATCCCCGGACCGCTCGCGTGGTAAGCGCGCCACTTGTCACTACACCACTTCCGCCCTTGTGAATAGACCTTGACAAATTGCCCCCTTTGGCACAAACTCACAGATTCTATGTGAGAAACGTTAAACCTCCATCTGGCCAAGTCTGACATGACGGTCGTACTTCAGATTTTCAAGGAAGGGCCACTTCCATCAAAAATGGGCCGTATTTTGGCAAGACGAGGAGAAATTTCCCAAAAATGAGGAAAGTTTTCGTCAAAATGACGACAATTGAAGAGAAAAATCGAAAGTTAGTAAGTTCCAACACTCTCTATCCTTCTCTGTACGATCCTTAGGGGTTTTGAGAGATGAACCAGCTTCAACGGCCCTCACTACCTAGACCGTCAACTATCAAAGGTGAGGGTAGACGTGAAGCTGAAATCGGTCACATGCCACAGTTGGCCGTGCTTTCAAGTTCCACTATTTCAAATAACTACTTTTGAGACATCAAATAACTTTTTTGAGACAGTTCTGTAAAAGATAGTAAAACATCCGAAATCAGTCAAACCATTTTTGGAATGCGCCACGCACACTTATTCCATTCATAATCATAGTCGCACTTTGAAGTCGGCTCAAGCATAGATTTGGCCCAATCAATAGTTTATTTGCAGGGATCGGCCGATGTAAAAGTCAATCTCCATCTTTCGATTAAATTCTGGTGCCGGCTAACCAAAACTGAAGGGATAGAAGGCTTGGTTGGCCCCGTAGATCCAGGATTTTACCTCCAAAAGCGCGTGGTAAGCTGCGCACGCCACTTGCAGCTGCACCCACTCATATTGTTCAGACTTGAATGGCTCAGAAATTAGGTAACTATTACACCTAAAAAAAACTTGGTAGGCACTCAATTTTCTTATATCAAGCTGATTCGGAACGCTAGATTATGACTTCTTTTTCCGCCACGAAATGAATGAGCGTGCAAAATCATTTTTTCATTCCGTGTCAGCAAGAATACGTTCTAGGCACAGTGGTCAGCATTGAGCAAAGCAAGAATTATCTTTTCCAAGATTTCTACCTGATCGAGCTTCCCGAACAGATTGCGAACGAGATAAACTATGATACTTCGTTTGTTTCAAAATTACCACTTCAAGCTTACTTTTTCGATCCACTTGGCTTCAAAAAATGATTTGTATGATACAAGACGACTAAGCCATTTCAGTCGCACACTCACATAATCAGGTGGTCTCTTTGGTCTGAGCTACTTCGTTGCGAGTTGATCATGATCTCGTCTGGACTACGCTAAGATCGCACGAGCTCTCCTTTTCCTTCGAGATTCGATGACGTCATGGAACCTCATTGGTGGATCAGGGCTTATGGCTCTCTGGGTAGTGTTGTTGAGGCCCCACTCTTCGCCGCCCCACCAATTACGCTGAATGACGTCACCAAAATCGCTCCGCCCTCCAGCCAACCCGTTCACTGCCTTTAAACCTTGTGAAAGCTCATGAACCTTTCAACTCCTACCTAGTCGAACATAGTGGCTACAATGGATAGAGGATAAATGGTAGAGGGATCCATGTTTATGAATAATTTGCACGCATTCTACTTCCAGCGTTACTTAGCGATAAAGCTCTTCTCACACAAAGAGCAGCCTAGCTTGAGGACGAGTAGTGGTGGGGTTACGAGAAGTGCTCACGAGGGAAGGTCATCAGGCCGGTCCGGCCATTTGCAAATACCGTTGAAGTCGCCTCGAGGCGCTGAGCTCAGAACTGCCTTCCTTATCTGCTA